TTCCGTGAGCGACTAGCGCTCGCGTCTCCGCGTGTCTGGAAGCAGACAAGCAGGCCGGCTGGACGGAAGCAGACTGTCCCCACGCGTGCAGACGAAGCCGCCGAGGGGTCGAGAGAGACAGCGCGTCGGAACGGTGCGCCGAACCGCTCTGCCTGATTGTCTCCGCCTACCTGTTCGGCTCGCGCCTGCACATCATTGTCTCCGTGGCGCTGCACGGCGATGCATGTCAACCTCTCGACAAATGGCGCTGGAAAGATAAAGACGTGATGGGAGGGGAGCGCGTGCCGTGTGCCTGCACCGCCCGGACAAGGCCGAGAGGCCGTTCGAGACTGATTCCGGAATATCAACCATTCGGAATTCTGATCCAAGTCTGGACCAAAATAGGGTCCATGCTTCAAAGCGAGGACTAAAATTCGGTTCGCGACGCTTCGAAACTTAAAACAGTCCGCGCAGGTCGTGTGGATAATGAAGCGTACGACGTCAACGCTGTTTGAGCACCAACTGCGGCGCAGCCTGAAGGAGGACGCATGGTGCCGAACGTTTTTGCGGGTCACCTCGCCCCGCCCGGCCCCGCCCGTCCCTGCCTTTCCTGAACAGGCTGCGGATGTTTGAAAGACGTAGACCCTCAACTGTGGCTAAGACGTCACCGAGGCCGCGAGGGACATTACTTGCAACGCCAGGGCCACGGCCAGGGCCACAGGTCTGCCTCTGGATGGACAGTCCGCCAGGAGGCATCCCTACCGCCCCCTCTCCCAGACCCACCCACGGACACCCTTTTTTTCAAAACAAGGTTAATTATCTATGAAGGGGGCAGCGACGCGTGCGGAGATAAGTCCCCCAGCAAGAGCGGTGTGTGTGTGTGTGTGTGTGTGTGTGAGTGTGTGTGAGAGAGAGAAGGGGTGGGGGGGAGAGGGGACCGGGATGGCTTGGCTGCCAACCTTACGCCCCTTACAGCGGTCCCCCAAACCTCCTTCCCGAACTCTCACCGACCGATACCTCCTTGCCTGCCTCGCCACGATTTTGACAAGAAGCCAGCGATCAGACAGTGCGGACCTATCTACGGTGACTTGGAATGCATGGCAAGGGAGATTCGAAAGCCACCCACTACGCGAGACTGCAGGGAAGCAGCTAGAAGTCATTGCTTAAACAACTAACAAAAGTCCTCTGTAAATGCGGTGACTTCAGTCAGATTAGTGCGGACAATTTTTTTTTGCGCGTAGGGAAATACGCAATATCTCAAATTTGACTTGGGGCAGTTGCGAGAAGCACGGAACGACGCGCTGCCGCTTCCGCCCCTAGGGGCCGTGATGGATCTCCTTGCATGTGTTCGAAGGCCTCATCTTTGCCGATACCGCTGTCTGTCGATGATCCCGCCCCGCATTCTGGTGGGAGATGAGATAGCTAGACGAGGCGGCAGGCTGCGGCAGGCTCGCCCTGTCGTGCGGGGCGAGCCATGAGAGCGAGAGAGACAGCGCGACGGAAGCCCTGGTCGGAAGCAGCCTGCAGCCTACGCCTTGTGGTGGGAAAAGGGAGAAAAAGGGGTGCGTTCCGAAGGCTAATACTTTTTCAATAGGCCGTATTTGCATGATTGCTGCTGTTATGTACTGCCTCTGGGGCGCCGGCAGCGACTCAGGGGGCGAGTAAACACAAAGTAGCTGAAAAGTGTGTGTGTGTGTGTGGGGGGGGGGGGGCAGGGTTGGAAAGAGCGAAAGGGGGCGGGAGAGCGTGCGTGTAAGTGTATGTTTATTTGCTTTTATTCTGTGTGAGTGAGCGTGTGTTCAATAGCTCTCGTGGGGATTAGACTGTAAATCAATAATCTTCGTCTTGGAACTACTCATGATGTGCCTCGGAAAATATCCTCTTCCCTGTTGTTAGGGGTCTAAAATTCCACTCGTATGCGAGCCTTCCCTGAAGACGAGCAGGGTGTGTGGAGTGTTGGCAGTCGAGGTGCGCCCCTGTCGAGGTGCACCGAGGCCTGCACCGAGGCCTGCACCTCTGTTGCCAAGACAGTGTCACACGCGGGTACTCATCATACTCGGCCCGCATCTATGGAAAGTTCCAGAGCAGGTCCTCGTGTCACCGTAGGACGACTGCATTGCGATCAGGGGTCGTATTGGCGAGAAAGAGAAAAACACCCCTCCGAGACGCCCGCATGCCGCTGGGGGTGGAGCTCCACAACTTACACCAGCTCCCAACTTGTTTGACGATACAGCATACGGGTTTGTGCGCCGCTTCAGAGTCCCCAATCTAAGTTTCATTTATTTTTAATCTGCGAGCCCGTGCGCGTGTGTGAGTGGAAAACAGAGGAGAGGGGGCAATGCGTGAGTCAGTGCGTGTGCGAGCAAAGTGATTGCGGCAGGGCTCTTTAATGGTCTGGCTCTTTTGGAGTTTTGGTCTGTGATGAATAAGAAACAGTTTCAGTTTCCATATTTTTATTATTATAACCTACAATAACGACTGCGTTGATAAGATGGGTTTGTTGAACTTATATGAAAGGCGACAGCAATTATAATTTTAAATAAGCTAATACTGCTGAGAGCACAAAAACAAGAACAGTTCTTTTAAAACTAGGTGCCATTCTTATAAAAACACGGCGGCCAGCGCGGACAGCACCACCACTCCGCTCACCAGGGCCATGTCTGCGTACGCCTTCAGGCTGCTCGGATTCAACTCAACTGAGCATTCTGGCGTAGCTCCTTACGTAGAAGTCGTGGCAAGAGTCCCCACCGCGTGTAAGCGGAGTAGGACGCAAAAACGGAGCCGATCGCGTGAAGGGTTCTTTCGGTGGGGTCGCGGCGGAGGCCGGGTCCGCCGCGCAGCGACACTAACAGCGTCAGGAATCAACTATGACTTCAGTTTTGGGCGGAGTTTCAGCCATTTTTCGTTACCAGCAGCATCCTTTCCAGGAGCCTCGGACTGACCATGCAGTGCAGTACCCGGGGCGCTGCCACGGGGCCCGCGAACGAAGAAACGATCCTTCGAGGAGGTGAAGGGGCAGTGCGGGGGCAGTGCGGGGCGGGGCTTCTGGATGGGGGAGCAGATGACCTCATTGCCAAGAAGTATCAGTAGAAGAGACTCGGTCCGATAAGCCATTGGAAAGTGCTGAGCTGTCCAGCTGTGGTCGGAGAGGAAGCCGGAAAGGGGGGGAAGGGGGAAGAGGCGTCGGGCGTCATGTCGCCAAATTCCAGATTGCTTTTTTTGTCGAATGGGGCGTGAGAATTTAGGAACGAAGAGTTGAGTGTTTAGAACGGAGTTTCTTCTTCGACACCAGGTTGACGCCTAGCTTAAAAATGGATGTAGTCTACTTTTAATTTTTATATTTTGTAAATTTTAGGTCAGTTGACTTAATTTCGGGATGTGATAGATGTGACAGGAATCAAAATAAAACATGTGGGATGTCATGTCTTTATAAAATGTTTAATTTGTACAAATCTCTCATGTACATTTACATATGTACAAACAAAATATTTACATAAACTCTCTTTATTATCCTATACAACGCATAACATAAACCATTTCCAGCTTGGGATCATTAAAGGTGGCCGAGAAACGCCTTTAAATTCCCAAAGAAATGGTCGCTGAAGTTGAAAGCATAGTCTCTGCAGCACAAGTAGAAAAATAGTTTTGGGAGCATTGTCAATCCAGTTTGCACTTATGTAAAGTTTTATCGCAAACGAAGAAACTGCGTTTATTTTTTGGTATAATTACTACATTGGTTGGTAGAGAAGATTCAGTTATTTAACTTAAGACGGCGCGTTACAACAACCAACAGGCAGATGACCAGCATGAACAGCATGTGGGTTAACATTGATGCTAGTTGGAGGACCTCGGCCATGGTGCTTTCCGCTGTGAAGCATGCACCAATTTTTTAGTCCCAGTTTTCATTTCAACAATAATAACATTAATAATTCCTTGAAAGTTGGCACCTTCGGTAGTTAATTTATAGACACTAATACACGACGTCGCGCGAGGGGGCCACAGCCACTCAGAAGGCAGAAACTGCAGAGGGGGTACTTTAGTGGAGACTATTTAGTCAGGTAAGATAAGTATTTGCCGGCTCCGGGACCGCCCGGCGGCGGGCACGCGAGCCACTTCCCTAATCTGCTTCTTGCCTGCGCAGAGCTCTGCGCTTGGGGCAATGCGACCGCCAGCTGAGTGCACTGCCTCCCCGCGCCACGCTTGCAAGTCTTCGCACTCGCACGCACACACACATTCACGCACACACTCACAGCCGCGCTCGCTCCGGAGCTCGAAGTCCACGCGTCACTGCCACTTCTTCGGCCACCTCACACGCAGCTCTCGGGGCCCGGTATCGAGTCCGATATGCTCCTGTCCGTGGACACCACTGTGCGCGCGTCGCGCATGGGCGGCGGAGGCGGCGCGTCCCGCAGTGGCTCGCGCGGCGTCCTGCGCAGCGTGCCGTTGCCGAGGACGTTCTCGATGTAGCTGGGGCTGTTGCCCAGGCCCTGGACGCCGTGGCCCTGGAGACCCAGCCCCGCGCCCTGGCCCGGCGCGCACGCCGCCAGCAGCGACAGCCCGGGCGCCGTGCCCGACAGCGGCGAGTTGATCCCCGGTGAGGATATCTGCAAACACAAAGGCCACGCATTATTTGCACCGCGGCTATTTGCAGTGGGCTAGCCTGCAGGATGACTCCGTACAGTGGCTCCGTCGCCCTGTCTCGCTCGCATCCGCAGGGGGCGTCCCATGGCCGTGAGCGCACAGAGAGAGACACGACGGCGAAAACATTGATAAGGACACTCACGTGTGATATGGCGGGCTCCCTGGGGTGCTCTCTGCTGGGCGCGGGGTAGGGGAAGCCCCCTGGCCCCGCCGGCCCCAGTGCGGGCCCCAGTGCGGGGCCCTGGCCGGGGCCCTGGCCGGCGCCCGGAGTCGCGCTCGACACCAGCGCGAAGCCCCCCGAGCCGCCGAACAGCGAGTCCGGCCGGTCCGGCCTCTGCGCCGAGGACGGCGACGGCACCAGGCCGTCCAGGACGGCGTTGGTCTCTGCGGACAAACACAGCGAGAACCGTCATCATCACCCTGACAGGGCTGCGTTGAGCGCGTTGAATGCAGCGGCCTCACCGTTCCCTCTCGGGGTCTCCAGGATGTCCGGCTTCCTCTCGCTGGCGCAGTCCGCCGCAGACTTGAGCGTGTACGACACCACGTAGCACTGGTCCTGCTTGATGTCCAGCTGGTTGCCGTGGCGGCTGGCCTTGGCCACGCCGGCCGCCGCGCCCGGGTGGCCGTCCTGGCGGCGCCGGTACGCCAGGCACAGCACCACCAAGCCGGCCAGCAGCAGCAGCGCGGCCGTGGCCACCAGCGTGTACAGCAGGGGCTGCGACAGCCCCTCTCCGTCGCCCATGTACTCTGCGACAGGGAGAGAGAAAGGTCAGACAACGTAGGCAAATCGCGGAGCGTCGAGGTTCTACACCGACGAGGGCTAGGTGAGCTTCCCGCTGCCTGCTCCCTCTCTCTCGCACTCGTGGCGTGTGCCGTGGGGTGTGCGAGAGAGAGAGAGAGAGAGAAAGCGAAAATGAGCCGGGCCACTTCGAAGCCAGTTTCACGCCTCGGCGACACCACCTCCAGAAGAAGCCCTTCGCCCTCCGCTGGCGGGGCTGGCGGCAATATCGAGGAACAAGTTTAAAATAACAAAGTCCGTCGCGTCAATTTCATAATAAACGGCGGCCGGCGGGGCCGCGTGAGGGCGCAGCAGACGGGGGATCATTTTCGTCGCTCCGTCTCTCTCTCACCTTAACGACCTGTAGGTGCGAGAGAGGCAGAGCGACGAAACCGACTCCCGGATTCGGTCTGCAGGCCGCGCCCTTGGCTCGCAGTGTCTCAGGTGGCGCTCCGCAGCTCCGCAGCGCAGCAGCGTGGCCCCTCTCAAGGTGGGCCAATTAAAAAGGGTCAACGCGAGGAAAAGGCGACGCCGCTGCAAAAGTGCGAAGGGTGGAGGGGCTTGGGGGGCCCCCTCGCCGAGGGCCCGGAGGTTGGAAAAGGGGGGGTGTTGCAGGGGAATCTGCAGGCGCGCGGAATGTCACGAGACGTTACGACGAGAGTTCTGCGGCGTGTTGCGGGTTGCCTAAGCGGCCACGTGCGGGGTGAAAAGGGGAGGGGGGGGGGAGGGGGACTGCAGGCAGCACCGGCAGCGCGCGGCGGCAGCTGGCACTTCCCTGGACCACTTATCTTGTCAAAGCCGGCGCCGCGGCATCGCGCTGTGTGCACGTCTGTGCACTGTGCACGCCACTGCGAGTGCGTCGCATCCGAGACCGGAAGAGACGCGGAGGGGGATAGGCGGGACGATCGAGACGTACGCAACTTGCGTGGCAGCGAATTCATACGCGACGAGTGCGAGGGCAGTGCTGTCAAAATTTTGGTCACAATTTCAAGGCTGCTAATAATTTTCCTTTCCAGAAGGTCATTAAAAAATCAGTTGCAGTCGCAAGCCCACGCCATAAGCGTAGCTTTGTGATGAAATTGTCGCATTTAAAAAGAGTGAAAGCGTCCCCTCCTTTTTTCTGGTCTGAAAGTGAAAGGAATTTTTTGACAGTGCGGAGAGCAGGAAGTGGAGGGGCAGCAGTCGCATCGGGCCGACTGCAAGATTACAGGGGCGGGCCGCGACGGGCTGCAGGCTTGCCCTTGGCCCTTGGGCTTGCCCGACGGGATAGGGGCAGTACTTCGAGAGCTCGAAGCTCTTCGAGAGCTCGCGAGCTCTCGAAGCTCTTCGAGGTCCCGGGGCGCGAGGTGCGTGGTGCGGGGCGGGGCGCGGCGTGGAGGGCGACGACGCGAGGGAACGAGCAGCCTGGATCCGTTATTTGGCCTTTTGTGATATCCATATGAATAATCATGAAGGACGGTTTCATCCTTTTTAGCCGCTTTCCAGCGACAGACGCATTGACTGCCGGGACGGAAGAAAGGCGATAGAGAGCGAGAGAGGTAGAGAGAGTCCATTCATTTTGGCGGGGGCTTCGATGAATACCAGCCGGGGGCGTCTGCCGACAAGTCGCACCCAAGTGCCGGCGGGCTGGTGGGGGGAGGGGGGGAGGAGACCTTACTCCTCGCTCGATTTAAATTTCAGGTTCGGGCCGCCGCGGGCGTCGCTTTTGCGGCCAAACTGTTGTCTCGCCAGGTCGACACACCGTCAAAGTTGGCTCCGTAAACACACACACACCTACACACACACCACACACACACACACACACACACACACACACACACACACACGCACGCACACGCCGCGGAATTGGTAATTACCAACGCGGTGCATCGACGCGTGCTTTCCTAATTTCGCACGCAAACAGAGCGCGCGTCTGGGCGCCGAGGACTGTCTAGACCGAGCGCTCCCGGGGGCCTGGCTGCCTGGCTGCGCCTCCGACCTGCACGGCGGCCTGGCTGCTGCCTGGCTGCCTGGCTGCTGCCTGCCGTCATATCAGGAGCAAAGCCAGGCAAGGTGGGCCGCCCCTCCTAAAAGACTAAAAAGAATCATGCCGCCAGGCTGCCGCAGGAGTGCAAAGGCGGCTTTCTTAGTTTCGGCTGGGACACCGTGAAAAGGGACGTTGTGCTATTCTTCTCGCGTGAAACACAAACACGGAGACTGACCGACGTGCCGCTCCCGGGCGCGCAGGGTGATGCCGTCCATGGTGAGCGGCTGGCTGCGTCCCTTGGCGTTGCTGGCGTACAGCACGAGGTGCAGCGTGTGGGTCCGCGCCGGCAGCAGCTGCCCGGGGTCCAGGCGGAAGGCGGGCTCGGAGGAGGTGGCGTTGTGGCGCAGCTTCATGGTGCGGGACTCGTAGGCCTCCAGGTGGAAGGTCTGCTGCAGGCCGCCGTCCGGCCCCGCCATGCACTCCACGTCCAGCACGCCGGAGCCCGGCGCCGGCGCCTCGCCCAGCCCGTGGCCCAGGGCGTTGCCCGTGCCGCTGCCCGGCGCCACCGGGGCCAGCAGCTGCAGCGAGGACCCGTTGGACGCGGGGGCGGAGCGCAGCGTGCAGTTGTGGACGGGCCCGGGCCGCACTGGAACAACACAGCGTTGGCATCAGACGCAGTCCGTTGACGACACTGTCACTTGCACTCTCCAAACTTAAGAAACTATTTCAGACCTTCAAGAAAATTCGAAAACACCTTGTTGAGGCCATTCTTCAACTACATGGTATGCACACACAAAAGTTGGTGAGGTTTCGGGCGCCATTTGACTGGGCGGGGCCGACCGCCAACGCGAGAGGGTTTTCCAGTGCAGGGCACTGGCGGTCGGCTCGCACTCGGTTTATCGCAACCCTTCGTTTTCTGTTTATTGATTTTCCCCCTGAAGCTGTAAATTCCCCCTCATTTTTTATCGCCGGCGCCGAGGAGATACGCGCGAGCAGCCGTCTATCGACCTATCTTTTCACCACTTGGCGCAAACAGACCCATCTTGATCCACAACGGAAGCGGGGTGGGGGGGGGGCGAAGCGCGCGAAGTCGATTGCGCTAGTCCAACAAGGAGGGCCAGGGGCAGAGCAGCGCGGGGCGGGAAGCAAGGCGGGAAGCTAATTGTCCACTCGTCATCGTACCGACCGGGCCGTCGGCGGGGCCGTCGGCGGGGCCATCGGCCACCGACCCGGGACCAAGGTCGCACTTCTGTCCGAAATGCGAGACCAGCTCGACCCAGTTCGGGCATCACCTGGTCTTTCGGGTGCTGCGAAGTCACCGCAGCGCGCACAGCGATTCCGCACTACTCGTCGCTGTCTCTCTCGCGCCCTGCGCACGCCCCCCGAGTGCGAGAGAGACGCGGCGACGAGGCGCGCTGCGGAGCGACACGGGGATATTCCCGCGCTGCGCCATCCGTCCGACCCACCGCAAATTCCTGGCTAGCGTTAACGGCAGCGGGCAACCGTTTACGGCCGGAGAGCGCGAGAGAGACAGCAGCTGTTTGGGGCCTAACCGAATAACGTGAAATATAACTTTGGTCTCGTAAAGTCGCCTCGCCGCCTCGGCCGACCGGAGGAGAGAGGAGAGACGGAGAGAGAGAGGTTTGCGAGGTCTTTCAGGATTGAGATGTAAAGCGAACCGACGACGCAACCTGTGACTGGCGGCGCGGCGGGGCGGGCGGGCACCGCGTCGTCACAAAGGGTGCTGCATTGCCCGGCCGGGGGGATTGGCACAAAGTGGCCCCTTTTCGGGGTCCACCGGCCCGGCCCCGCCCCGCGCCGCCCCGCGTGCCAGCTACTCGCGTTAATGTCGCTTTTTATGACGCTTTTTACGAGACTCGCGAATCGCGCCGCGCTCTCCGCGGGCATTCAGTGGGCGACGCGGGGCGTGGCGGGGCGGGGCGGGGTGGGGCGTGGCGGGGCGGGGCGTGGCGGCGCGAGTCGGCAGGTGGGGCACGGGGAACACGGCGTCGCGACACGTGCGCGTGCTGTAACGCGAACCGCCACTCCGCGTCCCTTTTCCGCTTTTCCTTCTGTTTTTACCCTTTCGACTTTCGTTTTCGTTCCACTCTTTTTTTCGGAAAGGGGGAGGGGAGGGGGGGGGGGGGTCAAAACTTGGAACTTGAAACCGGGGATCCGAGATTTCATTAGAGCATCAAACTTTTTATTCCTCCCTCTCCGCGCAGCGACTCGCCAGCACAATAACCCTTTGGGCCACTCTGTCCAAAAACAGCTTCAACAAGGATGGAGAGGTTTCAAAATTGATTGCCATTTCCACGTGACTTTTCAGCTGCAAAACGCGCATTGGGCTACTTTCTAAAAAAAGGGGGCTTCTGAGGTGGAAAGATTAGAAAATTGATCGTCATTTCGATATGAATTGATATGCACCCTCAAAACACCCCCCAAATAATAGGCGCGAGCTACTCACTGGCAGGGATGACCCTGAAGACGCAGGGGTCGGTCTGCCCGCCCACGCTGTTGCGGCCCCAGCAGGTGAGCGTGCCGTAGTCCTTGTCGGACTCGGGCTGGTAGCGCAGCTCGGACGTGGTGGCGTTGTGCGGCCCCGTCTTCTGCGGCGCCACCTCGAAGGTGTCCGCGCTGTTGGTGAGACGCCACGTGAAGCGCACGTCGCGCGGGTCCGCGTCCACGGCGCAGTGCACCCGCACCGTCTCGTCCAGCGAGGCGCCCACGATGACGGGGGCCGCGGTGCGGCACACTGGCGCGTCTGCAACAACAACAACAACTTTCAAAACCCTCCGGACTAAACAATTTGCCGGTGCTATGGCCGCTGCGTGGTAACTTTGGCCGTGCTTCGCCTCGCTTTCGGGCCGCGTCGGCTGCTCAGCCGCAAGCCGAGTTAGCCCGGCCCGGCCCGGCCTGCGCGCGAACAAGCGGAGGGGGAGTGTCACCTCGGGAACTTTATTCCCAAAGTCGTGCCCGGCCCAGCGGCCCCACGGCCCCACGGCCTCAGCCTCGTTATGCCGGCACCGGCGGCTCGGCACATCAGAGGACCGCGTCGACCAGGTGCGACGCGCGTCTGCCCCGACCCAGGCCCCGGCCCGACCTCAAGGTCCCTCAGGACCCTGAAACTAGAGGCCTGCACTGGAATTCCAGGACGAAAAATGCATGGTCGTTAGTGTGGGTGCGTGTGTGCGTGCTGGCCTCAATGATGGTGCCATCGCATGTACGGGACAAGATGGGGTAAGGTGGGGCAGGCGTACTTAGGGCGAGGGTCCTTCACCTGTCCCACTGGGCGCCTGTCCCCGCTCCACGAACAACAACAACAACAACAACAAACGAGGCGGGCCCAGGCGCGCCTTTGCAAGTGCGCGCGTGGCAAACAATAGACCCCTCGCTTGGCGCTGCTCGGCGCTGCTCGGCGCCGCTCCGCCTCGCTCGGTGTGCCGAGAGTCCGACGGGAATCCGCCGGAGACGTGCAGGCAATGGATGCGGGTCGCGCGGCAGCACGCGGCAGCACGCGGCAGCGCCTAAAGTTGCAAAGACTGCCGCGGCGCGAGGAGGGGGAGGGGGAGGGGGAAAAGGGCGCAGGGGTGGCAGGCCTGCTGCGGTTAGAATGAGCAGATAGGCACATGCAACGTTGTCAGGGGAACACGGCTCGAGCACTGCGGGGCGGGGCGGGGCGGGGCGGGGCGGCTTGAAGGCGTCAAGCTTCCTGACAGGCCGCGAGGAGGCGGGGCGCTGGCGGGGCGCTGGCGGGGCGCTGGCGGGGCGCTGGCGGGGCGCTGGCGGGGCGCTGGTGGGGCGCTGGCGGGGCGCTGGCGGGTCGCTGGCGGGGCGCTGGCGGGGCGCTGGCGGGGCGCTGGCGGGGCGCTGGCGGGGCGCTGGCGGGGCGCTGGCGGGCGCTGGCGGGGCGCTGGCGGGGCGCTGGCGGGGCGCTGGCGGGGCGCTGGCAGGGCGCTGGCGGGGCGCTGGCGGGGCGCTGGCGGGGCGCTGGCGGGGCGCTGGCGGGGCGCTGGCGGGGCGCTGGCGGGGCGCTGGCGGGGAGGGCGCCACTATCGCCACCGCAAGGCTCCAGACCGCATCCCAAAGACGGGGTGCTGCCAGTCTCAAAGGAATCCGTGTATGCTCCGTAAGTCCCCCACCCCACCTCGCCACCGCACCGCGCCGCGCGTGCACGAGTATATACTCAGTGCTCGGCCGATTCTGGCCGACTGCGGCCCGGCCCCCGCGAGCCAGATAACACGATAACACCCCCGCGACAGCGACGCCGAGGACCCCGGCGGTGACTCGCCCGGTTTAAGACGCACCCTGGCAAGCGCAATCGGCATTCCTCCCGGACGGCAACTCAGTTTTCGAGAGCGTACACGCCGTGCCTGCTGCACATCTGGCCGCTCCGTCTCTCTCACCGCCGCGACACAAGTGTGTGCGAGAGAGACGGAGCGGGCAGCGGAATGGCCCGACTCGGCGAGCACCCTGCAGCCCACCGCGCCGCGCTGTACTCGGTAATAACGGTCTTGAAGGGCTTCAAGGCGCCCTCCGGCCCGGAGCGCTCGGGGCCGACCGGGGCCGGCACCACGCCCCCGCGACCTACTTAGCCTCCGCACTGCACGCCCGCCACGCCCGCCACGCCCGCCACACCCATGCTCACTCCTTGCACACGCACTCCCGGCAACGGCTAGGACGCGCGCGCAAAAATGACCTCGGCGAAAAGACCTCCATGCGTCCTCTCCCAGGAAAAAGGCGCATCACAAGAGATTTTCGCTCAAAAGTTGTGAATTTTTGGGCGAGCCGAAGCGGCAGTGCTGACCTCGACTCGCAGGGGGGGATAAAGTTTGAGTAACGTAAAGAAGGCAGCGGCCAGTGGTCCGGGAGATCGCGCCCACCGCCGCGCCGCGCCGCGCCCCCGGAGGCCCAGCGGCCCAGCGCGAGGAATTGCTCCCTCATCGTCGGTAAATTGAGAGGAGCTAGGTGCGGCGGGGCGGGGCGGGGCGGGGCAGGTTAAGGCCGGATTTAAGACCCAGCGATACGGCACCGGGGCGCGCCTGAAAGTACCGCGGCTCGGCCCGGCCCGGCTCAGCCTCTCGGGCAGGGACCCCAGGCCGGCTCTGCACCGCTCTGCGCACGCCATTAGCAGGCCCAGCCGGGAAGGTAGACAACAAGCTAGTTATGGAAATAGTTGGCAGCCTCCCTGCATTCGGTGCGGTCACATTGCACCTGGCTGCTGCCCCCCCCCCCCCCCCCCCCTCCGGTCGCTGCCGACGACGCTGTCCTGCTAACGACCAAGTGACCGAGGGTCGAGGTGCTGTCTAGTCTCGTCCTGGGCAAGGGCTGCTGGGACCCGCGGCTGGGCCTTCCAGAAATAACACAGTTGTTGTAAGCTTCATTCAAGCCTAACCACCAGTGTGTTGGCCTGGTCCCGCTTCCCGTGCGACATCACTCCGACGTCTCTGAAAAACAGCAACCCGAGCAGCAGCATCGTCATGTCCGCGCCGCTCGCAGCAGACTGGATAAGCGAATTGATTCCCGGCGGAATGTCTAATGACTCGTTGCCATGACGACGGTCTTCGGCGCCTGTCTCGGTCCGGGGGGACGTGATTCGAAACTCGAATGGTGGCGACCGGGGAGCCGAGCTGGCGATAAGGCAAGGCAGGGACTCCAGCCGCGGCCGAGCGCGAAGCAAGTCGAGCTGCGCCGAGGTGCTCGGTCCAAATTTAAGAGCCATCCAGTTAGTTGAGCCGGGGACTTTATTTCACTTCCTGCCTTATCATGCGCAGCGACGCAGCGAGGCAGCGACCCGGCCGGGCGGCCCAGATCGAAGATACCGTCGAGTCGCCTCGCAGCGCCCCGCAGCCTCTTGGGCGGCCAGGTGAGGCAGGCGGCTCGAACCGCACGCGCCAGCGGGCCGTAGGCGGAGCAGCGCCGATATCCATGGCACGTTTTTGGAGCCCAAACTGGACTTGAGTCACACGCACAACGGGTTCTTCGTCCCGAGGGGGGCAAGAACCACTGGCCTAAAAAGTGTACGCAAAAACAAATTTTTTTAAAAAAATTAAAATTTTGAATTTTTTTTAAAACTTTGAAAAGTTTTTGAAAACTAGAGATTTTTTTTTGAAGTTGCCGTATTGTCAAAACAATTCCAAAATATTTTTTTAAAAAATTAAAATTTTAAAAACTTTTTTCAATTTAAAAAAAATGAAAAAGTGAATACTTTCGAAAACATTTGAAAATTTTTGGGAAGTGCACACAAAAGTTTTGAGTTGTTTCCCCCTCGCTTCCTCCACGTGCCAATCCACTGTCACCGTCACGGTGTGTGATTCGAGTTCCCTTTTAGAGAGCTGTAAGCAGGGTCATCGACTAGTACAGTAGAGTTGTTTTCTTTTTTTTTGCGACTGATGACAACAGCACACTGCTCCGCGCTAAACGGTCCGGCGATACTCCGCGCGCTCCAGTGACTTTTAATCGCTACTACTGTCCTGCTTCTTGATGGCACCGTCGTAAACCGTTGAGGGGCCCCTTTTCATACATCCCGAGCACAGTGTCGAAAAAGTTTGCTCGAATTTCCTCAGGTTTATTGTGCCCTGACGTGCTGTTTAGAAAAGGCCAATGTGTGAACCGTCTCAACGCCACCAAAAAATGAAGTCGAAAACTAACTGTGCTGTTTGTTTTTAAACTTTGGCAGGGGAGGTTCATGCGTCACGCGTCTGGGAATGACCGGGAGTTGTTCATTTCTCCTACCTAAATGTTCGCCTACCTGTCTATTTCGCCTACCTATATTTCGCCTACCTAATAAAAATATTGAATAAAAATATTCAATAAAATAATGCCATTTTTCGCCTACCTATAGTTCGCCTACCTAATAAAAAAATTAAATAAAAATATTCAACAAAAAAAAAACGAAAAAATCGGCGGCAAAAAGTGGCAATACGAAAGTCTCAAGGAGACCCGCCGATCAGCTTCGGTGTTCTTATGGGAACCGGGCCTTCATCCGACGCTCCCTGCCGCGCAATTCGACAGATTAGTGGGTTCGTATTGGGCTGGCCCACCCGAAGTGCGCGCGGTTTCTGTGGTACAGTGAGAGTCCAGATTCAGAGGCCTTACCTCAGAGGGGTCACATTGGGTATTTGAACCCGCGACCCCGAGTGCCGAGTCTAGTCAACTCCTCTACCCTGACCGCTCAGCCACCGAACCAGCTTGTCGGCGGCGATGTCGCAACTCCTCTTGAGCTGCCGTTCGAGAAATCTGGTCCCGAAAAAATGGTACTTTGAGCGGTCTCGAACCCGGGACCTGCTGCTTCCCACATCATGCTCTTAACCACTGAGCCACCGAGACGCCATGGCACCCGCCCTGCCTGCGCTGGTACTCAATCTTCTCTGGATATACCTCCCCAAGCAATTGGTCGCCGAAAAAATTGTGTATACTACCGGTCCCGAACCCGGGACCTGCCACTTCCCACAACGTGATCGTAACCGCTGAGCCACCGGGACGCCATGGCACCCGCCCTGCCTGCGCTGGTACTGAATCTTCTCTGGATATACCTCCCCAAGCAATTGGTCGCCGAAAAAATTGTGTATACTACCGGTCCCGAACCCGGGACTGCTGCTTCCCACATCATGCTCTTAGCCACTGAGCCACCGGGGCGCCATGGCACCCGCCCTGCCTGCGCTGGTACTCAATCTTCTCTGGATATACCTCCCCGAGCAATTGGTCGCCGAAAAAAATGTGTATACTAACGGTCCCGAACCCGGGACCTGCCGCTTCCCACATCATGCTCTTAACCGCTGAGCCACCGGGACGCCATGGCACCCGCCCTGCCTGCGCTGGTACTCAATCTTCTCTGGATATACCTCCCCAAGCAATTGGTCGCCGAAAAAATTGTGTATACTAACGGTCCCGAACCCGGGACCTGCCGCTTCCCACATCATGCTCTTAACCGCTGAGCCACCGGGACGCCATGGCACCCGCCCTGCCTGCGCTGGTACTCAATCTTCTCTGGATATACCTCCCCAAGCAATTGGTCGCCGAAAAAATTGTGTATACTACCGGTCCCGAACCCGGGACCTGCTGCTTCCCACATCATGCTCTTAGCCACTGAGCCACCGGGGCGCCATGGCACCCGCCCTGCCTGCGCTGGTACTCAATCTTCTCTGGATATACCTCCCCGAGCAATTGGTCGCCGAAAAAAATGTGTATACTAACGGTCCCGAACCCGGGACCTGCCGCTTCCCACATCATGCTCTTAACCGCTGAGCCACCGGGACGCCATGGCACCCGCCTTGCCAGCGCTGGTACTCAATCCTCTCCGAATAAACCTTGTCAAGAAGTCGGTTGCCTCTGCCGAAAAATATGGTCATGGTACTAGTCTCGAACCCGAGACCTGCCAGTCAGGAACGCAGCACTCTAACCACGGCGCTACTTGGTTGCTACGCACAGCGCTCACCCCATCGCCGAAGTTATTATTCGTCCAGCATCAAGCAAGATGGGTGGCTATTGAAGTTTGGCGCTAGGTTAGTGGCGTGCATAGCAACCTGGTAGCGCCGTGGTTAGAGTGCTGCGTTCCTGACTGGCAGGTCTCGGGTTCGAGGCTAGTGCCATGAGCATATTTTTCGGCAGAGGCAACCGACTTCTTGACGAGGTCTATCCAGAGAGGAATAAGTACCAGCGCTGGCAAGGCGGGTGCCATGGCGTCCCGGTGGCTCAGCGGTTAAGAGCATGATGTGGGAAGCGGCAGGTCCCGGGTTCGGGACCGGTAGTATACACAATTTTTTCGGCGACCAATTGCTTGGGGAGGTATATCCAGAGAAGATTGAGTACCAGCGCAGGCAGGGCGGGTGCTATGGCGTCCCGGTGGCTCAGCGGTTACGAGCACGTTGTGGGAAGTGGCAGGTCCCGGGTTCGGGACCGGTAGTATACACAATTTTTTCGGCGACCAATTGCTTGGGGAGGTATATCCAGAGAAGATTCAGTACCAGCGCAGGCAGGGCGGGTGCCATGGCGTCCCGGTGGCTCAGCGGTTACGATCACGTTGTGGGAAGTGGCAGGTCCCGGGTTCGGGACCGGTAGTATACACAATTTTTTCGGCGACCAATTGCTTGGGGAGGTATATCCAGAGAAGATTGAGTACCAGCGCAGGCAGGGCGGGTGCCATGGCGTCTCGGTGGCTCAGTGGTTAAGAGCATGATGTGGGAAGCAGCAGGTCCCGGGTTCGAGACCGCTCAAAGTACCATTTTTTCGGGACCAGATTTCTCGAACGGCAGCTCAAGAGGAGTTGCGACATCGCCGCCGACAAGCTGGTTCGGTGGCTGAGCGGTCAGGGTAGAGGAGTTGACTAGACTCGGCACTCGGGGTCGCGGGTTCAAATACCCAATGTGACCCCTCTGAGGTAAGGCCTCTGAATCTGGACTCTCACTGTACCACAGAAACCGCGCGCACTTCGGGTGGGCCAGCCCAATACGAACCCACTAATCTGTCGAATTGCGCGGCAGGGAGCGTCGGATGAAGGCCCGGTTCCCATAAGAACACCGAAGCTGATCGGCGGGTCTCCTTGAGACTTTCGTATTGCCACTTTTTGCCGCCGATTTTTTCGTTTTTTTGTTGAATATTTTTATTTAATTTTTTTATTAGGTAGGTGAACTATAGGTAGGCGAAAAATGGCAATATTTTATTGAATATTCTTATTCAATATTTTTATTAGGTAGGCGAAATATAGGTAGGCGAAATAGACAGGTAGGCGAACATTTAGGTAGGAGAAATGATATAGACTCGAATGACCTGACCGACTCGAGGGCTTGCTGGAGGCTCCATTGACGCGTCGGTGGGGTCGTTGACGGTGTCCACACACACGTCTTCGTCTACTTAGCGCCGCCTGGCCCTAGGCTCCAGGTCCAGGCGCACCGGGTCGCGAGTGAGGGCCTCATAAAGCGCTTAACAGCCCTTCCGCTCGCGCGGCCCGAGCCGAACCGTCTCTCCGGCGACGCGAGATTGATTCGTGTCTGGCTGGCAGACAAAGTAGCTTCGAGTCGGGCTCCGGACATCGAAGGCGACGCAGTAAACCCACTGCCGATGATGCAACCAAACGGCCTGCCGATTCGCGCGGCTTAACGGCCTCCGAGACTTTTGTTGTGACCCATTCTACACTGCATCATCAGGCCTCCTCGAGCGTGCAGCGCCACGCCGCGCAGCAGCAGAGCCAGCATCGCTTGCGGCTCACTTTTTTTTTCGGTGATACTTTTTGTGTCGCGCCGGAAACTTTGTGGTGAAAGTACTCACACTTGACCCTTAGGCGCACGGGCTGGCTGGCCGTCTCGCCCTGGTCGTTGGCCGCCTTGCAGACGTAGTGGCCGGCGTGGGCGCGGGTCACGCCCTGCATCACCAGGCTCTGCGTGGACAGCACCACGCCCGCCGACACGTTGTGCGTCACCGGCGTCCCCTGCAAGCACAAACAACCGCGGTTAAAGCAAAGGACATCTCTCTCTCTCGCACCTGCGCTGGACGTCCTCAGAGTGTGTGTGTGAGAGAGAGAGAGAGAGAGAGAGAGATAGAAAGAGAGAGAGAGAGAGAGAGAGAGAGAGAGAGAGAGAGAGAGAGAGAGAGAGAGAGAGAGAGAGAGAGAGAGAGAGAGAGAGAGAGAGAGAGAGAGAGAGAGAGCGAGCGGCATTTCAAGTTCAACGTCGCTGCAGGAAGGAAAGGAGGGCAGGATGGGTTGCCGTCCCGGGGGCGTGTCCGCGTGGCGCCACCATGCTAAAAATCGAGAAGAGACAAAAAACCTCGCTCTCACTCTCTCACTCGGCCGGCACGCGACGCATTGACGCGATGACGCGCGCTCGCCCCGCTCGGTTCCCGCGTCATAGAGGACGCGTTAGTTTGGGCGTTCCGAGCGAAAGAAAGGAGGCTCGATGGGTCTGTAACACGCCGCCAATTGCTGTGACGCAAACTCACTTCCTCGGAACTAAAGACCGAGAGTCGTCGCTCTGTCCCTCTCGCACCTGCAGGGGACGCCTCACGAGTGCGAGAGAGACAGAGCCACGAATCAGTCTGCTGGTGGCCTCAAGGGATCGCCCGCTAGACGACCTACCGTCAAGCAGACGCTTATCCGACTCACATCCCAACCAAATACACACTGGAAAAACTACAGCCTGACCCTCTTTTTCCGAGTGCAGTGGATTTTCGTCTTCATGCTTCTCTCGCTGTGCTTGACTCGCGCATACAGCTCAGTCTTAATTTCACCTCGGTGACCGAGCTGCTTCATCTTGGTTTTCCTAATTTTCAGGAGCAGCGAGAAGTGTCAATTTACGCTGCGGGCGGAGAGGTCCGTAGGCAGTGCCGGCGTACACGCGTGCATTGGGTTGCCCACCTCGCCTTTCGCGGGCGGACATCAGCCTGTAGCGTAGGCAGTGCCGGCCCACATGCGTGCGTTGGGTTGCCTACCTCGCCCATTGCAGGAGTGCGTCGTCACAACACAAGGCGAGGTGGGGCGGGCTTTACGCCTACGTTGCCTCGAGGGGAAGAGGGGGGACGTGGTTTATGACGTGGACTGGTGCGGTGGGCCGACAGTGCGTGCAGTACAAATGGACACACACACGCGCGCGCGCGCGCACACAGAGACGGCGAATGTTTCATAGAAGTCATGCACTCTCTTTAGGCGGGCGGCGCGTCACGCGACGGCGGCGCGCACGGCTGCACCTGATGGCCCTCCCGGACACGAACGGGCCGCCGGCTCATCGCGGGGAATGGGAGGACGACGAGGACGACGAGGACGACTACGAGGACGACGGCGAAGAGGAAGACGAAGGACGACGACGAGGACGACGACGAGGACGACGACAACGGCGGTGCCCTGGCGGTTACGTGCCACCACTGCCTAGGCAGCTCTCGGGTCTCGTTTTGAAAAGTGTTCCAAGTTCGCCGCGGCACGTTCAACAACGGCCAAAGTTTTTACTTAACCCGTTTGCAGGGAAGCAAAACCACTCAGCGCGGGCCGGGGCGGGGCGGGGCAGGGGGAGTGGCACTCGCTGCTTGTCGCTGCCCAGCACGACTCCAATATACGCGTTCCGGACACGGCCTCGTCCTACCCGCGTCCTGTCGCGACGCGACCCATCCGGGCTGTCGCAGGGCTGTCGCAGGGCTGTCGCAGGGCTGTCGTCTGGACGGCCCCTGAGGAATGCCTCCTCATTTTCAACCATTTTCATCTCCCTTTCCGGCCGCGGTGCTTCCGCGCCCCCTCACCGGAAATCGCACACACACATCGCGGATATGGCCCCGGGGAAGGGGGCAAGGAGTTTACGCCCGCGCACACACACGCGCGCACAATGTACAGCACCTCAAGCCGCAGCGCGAGGCCACCGGTAAATAATGCAGGCGGGCGGAGCGCGTGTGTGGGACAAAGAAGGGAGGCGGGCGGCGGGCGGACTGACGCACGGCGGCCGAAGGGGAGTGAGAGAGACCGGGGGAGAGGCGGCGCGGTGCGCGGCGGACGCTCAGTTTCACGTTTCGCGTTTCACACACGCTCGCTGGCGAAGCGGCGAAGCGGCGAACCTCCCAGGCTTGATGCGCCTCGCCCTCCGTAAATGCTCAAACTATTTCAGCACATTAATTGGCTGCCCGGAGAAGTGCGGGGCGGTGAGTGTATGGGGCGAACCACCAAGTCAAAGAGGTATCGCGGCCAGTTTGCTGCTATCGTCTCTCTCTCTCTCTCTCTCTCTCTCTCTCTCTCTCTCTCTCTCTCTCTCTCCACGCACGCACACCCACAGCCACCAACCCAACTTGCTCCCGTCCGGACAAAGCCGAGCGCGCCAGTGAAATTTATGATAACGACAGTCGCATCACCCGGCAGTATTTTGATGGAGGGATGGATGCGAAAGGCATGGCCCTGATGGCGGACGGACGGACGGACGGACAGGCAGACAGACAGGCAGACAGACAATCTGCACGACCCTTCGGCGCGCGCTAACACACCGTATTTGCTCATGTAACAACTCATCCAGTCGCGAAGAAAAAACACGCGAGAAAATACATGAAAAATTACAGAATGACAAGACGACCTGATTCCACCCGATAACTGGCGAGGAGAAAAAGGAGCGTGATCGAGGCGGTATGGTTTTCAGTTTTCACAGTGCGGTGGGTCCGACTCGCTACCAGTGTGCCTGCACTGTGCGAATGATCTTCGCCAAACGAGCGCGCCCGGCGCGCCATGCGTAACAGATTTCCCCCCGGATTTTTCCTCGGACTTCCCTCCGGTCCTTCGACCCTTCGGCCTTCCGGGCCAGTCTTATGGCGGCAGCCAGGCAGCGAGACAGCGAGGCAGCGAGGCAGCTGTTGGCGGGTCGAGCGGGGCCAGCAGGGGCGGCAACAGCGCGCAGCGCACTGGAATTTAAGGAGAATGGCTGGTAGTCAAAGACGAGGGCGAGCTTCTGATATCGAGAGTGGCCTAGACGGTCAGCGGCACCAGCGGCACCAGCATGCAGACGGGCAAACGGCGGCAAACCGACCCCCCTCCCCCATTCCACCCATTCAGCTAAGAGCGCGGAGGGATGGAAACATTTTGCACTTTTGCGATCCGCTCCAGAGCAGGAGAAACTGGCGGGAATGGCGGAAGGAGAGGAGAACGAAAGCAAAGCAACCTTTTCCCTCCAGAAAGGAAAACAAGCAAGGACACCACGGGGGGACGGCAGCAATCAAGGCGCCCTGTCCGGCGGTGTCGCCTGCCAGCCGAGGTGGACCACCCCGACCGCCGCGTCGGCAGAGGGAAGAAAAAGAAGATAAATTTGAAGACGAAGAGCAGAAGAACAAGTTGTAGAGGAGTCGGGGCGAGTGAGGCCCACTGTTTGCGGCTCGCGCGACTCGCAATGGAGCCGCCGCGCTAATGCTCTGCATGGACGCATGCCGCACATTGTCTGGCAGTGCGCCGGACAATGCATGTCGGACAGACAGACGGACGGACGGGTGGACAGACGTGCGGACAGAGTAAGGAGCCATCGCAAATGAACTAGAGTGACACGAGGGGGGGGGGGCTGAATCCTAGCTATACGCCCCTATGCCCCCCCCCCTCCGTCAGCGCGAACATCCAATTTTATTCCCATGATGATGACCGCCCTGAAAGCGCTCTCTCTCTCTCTCTCTCTCTCTCTCTCTCTCTCTCTCTCTCTCTCTCTCTCTCTCTCTCTCTCCCCCTCGGGGATGTGTTTCAGAAAAAAATGTTCCCACGCCTTGCGGTAATTGCCCCTGGTGGTAATTTGATACAGGGCGCTGCAGCACAAAGAGGGAGTGTCACTCCGCCAATCATTTTTCATCTGGTCGTTAGGAGTCGAACACTCTCGGCGGCGGGGCGGCCGAGCAGGCAGACAGACAGGGCGAGCGGACAGGCAGGCAGACCGAGAGACAGGCCCGACAGGCCGGTGAGGTTTGGTACATGTGGAGGTGCACCGGGCGCAGCGGAACTTCCCTATCTGGGTCACGAGTCCCTTCAGTCCCTTGCACCTCTCTTTCGTTCGTTACTGCGTACCGACACATCAAAATGCATGACTTTCACCGCCACCCTTTTTTCCGCCGCCACCTCCTCCTCCCCTTCCTCGCGCGACCAGAGACTACTGAAAATGCGGCGTTTTTTGATACAGTGTTCCAGATGTTTCGTCCTCGATGGTAAAACTGGTGGTGCCTACATTCGCGGTGCGAGACAGACGGACAGCGGCAGGCAGACAGACAGACAGACAGACAGACAGACGAGCAAGCAGACAGACCGACAAGTGAACGGGCCGTCGGGAGGGCCAAGGGATAAGGGAAAAGCGGTGAGTACCGAGTACGGCAGAATGAACGCGGGCAAGTGGGCAGCCCGCTTCGCCGCTGCACTGGCCGACTGGTCAGCGCGGCGGCGCGAAGGCCAGAGGGTCGCGAGGGGAGCAGTCGCGTAGTGCATCGCAAAACACCACGGCACTCACGCCGTTCCGTGGCGTGGCCTGCCGTGGCGGCGTGCCGTTGACGTGGAGATGGCACCGCGGCACGGCACTGCCATATAACTTTTCCTCTTCAGCATATAAAAGTGCATGCACCGCCCGGCGCCCGGCTGTGGCTCTTGCTTTCTGCGACCAGCTGGTCGCGCTGGTCAAGCCAGTCAAGCCCAGCAGGCCGATACTGCAATCGAAGCCAAGGGTCCGTCCGTCTGTCCACTGCACGATCGAGTCCACCCTCATCGGTTAACACGTGACCTCTTTCTGCAGCCGAGCTTCTAATTCCTCCCCTCCCCCCCCCCTTTTCCCCGCCTCTCCGCCATGGATATGAGACGCTTGCTTCGCTGCGACGCTAGGCTTGCGCTGGGCCTCGCAGCAGACTGAGTCGTTTTCGTCTCTCTTTCTCTCTCTCTCTCTCTCTCTCTCTCTCTCTCTCTCTCTGTCTCTCTCGCTCTCTCTCGCTCTCTCTCTCGCTCTCTCTCTCTCTCTCTCTAATCCGCACCTATACGGCGCGTGAGTGCGAGAGAGACAGAGCGAGGGAAACGACTCTGCAGGTGCGACGGCGGGGATTTTGCTGCCGCGGGACGTCGCGTCGCTCGACGTAGATTTGCGAGATCTGCCACTCCATTAGTCTGCGGGCCGCGGCGCGCAGCGCAGGCCGCACACAGCAGCGCGGGGCTCATCAGCACGCACATCACCTCGATCAATCAATCAATCAATCAATCAATCAATTAGACGCCTCTGATGTCTGTCACGCCACCGCCTTGGTTGCGTCCCCGCCGCGGATTCCTCTGCTCGTTTCTGTTCCCGTTGAAAAATAGAAGTTCCATTTCTACGATGGAATACTACAAGTTTTGTTGTTCAAGAAATTCTTTTGACTAAGAGCCGTTTTTGAAATTTGAAACGAGACTTTGAAATAACGTTTTACTTTTTTCAAAAGAGTTTTGAAAAGAAATTGTAAAAGTGCTGTTTCGTTTGGAAATATTTTGCTCGCCTTCAACCAGTTTCGAGCAATTCGCCCTGGAGCCGGTAAACACCTACAAGCAGAATCTACGCAATGGTGCTGCAAAACAAACGTGGCTTACATTATGGAACCACCAGATGCCTCGGTTCCGGGGGTTGGCCTGGATGTCGCACTCGAAGTACACGTCGTCGCCTTGCTTGATGTCGTCGGGGTTGAGGGACGCGCCCAGCTTGAGCGACACGATGGGTGGATCTGGAAACCATCAATAACGATAACAGGAGGGGGAAAAAATGCCACGCGTCGCAGAAGCAAGCCTCGAAACTGAAAGATTTTTAGGCTGTCACATCCCGCTGCACAGTGGGCCAGAAGACCGGTGGAGGCGTCCAAAACTCTAGACGCGTTTTGAGCTCCACTGTGCGCTGCCGCGCGCGGTTCAGCGTCTCAATAAGAGTTTTTAGAATTTTTTTTACAGTGCAGCTGGTACTTACAGACTACGTTGAGGGTGATGTTGTCCGACATCTTCCGGTCCTCGTTGAACTTCTTGTCGGAGCGCAGCTCGGGGTTGGTGGCCATGCAGAGGATGACGGCGCCGTCGTCGGACGGCTGGGGGACGAACGTGAGGACGCTGCGGACCAGGTCCTCCGACGAGGTGTTCTCCATCTGGAACAGCGCGGGGCGGCGCGGAGCACATCGTGAGGAACACAGAAACGAAAACAAAAAGCGGTTTCGCGAGGCAGGGCCCTGCAGGGTGCTGGCGCGTTCATGGCTGTTCCACGACACTGGGAATTAAGTAGTAATGCGCACACACGCACACACGCACACGGTCACGCACAATTCATTTGGGGGGCGATAGTCATCTCTCTCGCACCTCGCGATAAATCATACCCGGCACTGCACCCTGACCCACTTTTTTAACATTTTCCCTGGAATTACTCCTGGCTTCGGTCAACGCACTGCTAAATCTGTTCCCGCTTTCATGCCACCAGGCTGCCCGCTACAAGCTCAGCAGGGAGTAGTTTCCGGGGCAAGTTGCTCGCACGAGGAAAACAGCCAAACACTACGGCTGGTCAACGTGAAGATTGTTGACAGTGCAGGGGATAATCTAGTGTACTGGGGGCAACAATGTTGTGGCGCCTCGAAGCCATTAGCCAGTAAGCCCGGCAGGCCCGGCACCTGGAACAACATTCAGGACAATCAGGGGCCGTGCAGAGCGGGATCAACTGTTGTGTGTATTCCGTCTCGCTCCCTCCCCGGCCGCCTTTTGTCTGGAGCCACACCTGGAAAAACCCCTCGTTGCCGAACCACGATTGGTCTTCAACCACGATACACTGAAATGAATGTGAAATTCGTTGAAAAACAGTGGAGGTGGAAATTGACTGGCTCACGATCGGAAGTTCGTCTCGCTCGACCGGCACAGGGACAGCGGGAAGCCCCGCCTTGGACGACGGTGGAAACCATTTCCCTGCTTCTCGGCGAATTTCCCCGTGAAAGCTGCTAAAGCAGTCCGCACCGCGCGGAGTCGCGCAATAGAACGGGCCTTTGAGTTTGAAGGCGAAGAAAATCGTTCCCAACGACGCAATAACGGTGTGGGGGCCACTGCCTTTGTGCGTGTGTGCGAAAAGACAAAGTGAAAAAAAGAAGAAAAAAAAGCTGCTTCGGAAGTCGCCGCAGCCTTGGGGCGGTACAGGAGCTTGGTCGGCCGCATTGGGGGCAAAGACTACACGTGTAGCGCAGGCCAGCCTCGATCTCAAAACAACACTCGCAAAAAAGTTACATCGAATCCACTCAAATTAGGTGGATTACTTTGGGTCTCACTGAGAAAGCACTCAACAGAACTAAAACCTCTGAAACGAATAGTTTCGTTCGTGACGACTTTTTGTTTACAGTGACGTTAACATTTCGGGGCGGGACACGGGTTCTTTTACCGGACGGTGCCGCGGCAACTGCAACACGATTACTGCAACTCGCTAATCTGCTTGCTTGCACCGAAACTCGGAAAACCGCGCAGCGGACGGCGGGCTCGCAGCGTCGCTCTCGTCGCCCTGTCTCTGTCGCACTCGTGTGGCGCCCCGCGGAGGTGCGAGAGGGACAGCGACGAGGCACGCTTTGGAATCAGACTACAGCAGCAGGGAGCGAACGGGGCGCGATCCCGTGCGCAAGCCGGACTTTTATTCTCCGCGTGTCCCACACCGGCAGCAGCAGCAGCAGCCCATCCCCAACATGCAAAGCCAGCTCATCCTGTTTCCACTCCGGCCGACGGTTCCGCAGGCTCGCTCCGTCTCGCTCGCACCCCGCGGGCCGCGCCGTGAGTGCGACGGAGACGGAGCGACGCCGCGGCTCCCCGGAATCAGGCGGCTGACTGCACAGCGCCGCGCTGCGCCGCTCCGGGTTGTTCCACCGGCTAAATGGCTTGTAATGCGTCCGTATTCGGTTTGTCGCGATCGAATCGACGGAGGGGACCTCGCCACTCCCCGCCACGCCCAACACAGCCCCGCCTAGGTGTTGCAGGGCGGGGCAAACAACTCCATAACAAATTCCCCGGCCGGTGATTGGCTGTGCCGTGTTTACAGTGCATCGGAGACCCGTGTCGCTCCCTGTTTGTGTTGCCGAGGTGGGCCAACTCCAGGGCAGCCAACGCAGCCGACAAACTTTGCAGTGTTGCAGTGTTTCAGTCCCCGGCCACGTCCCCGGCCGGCCCTTCCCCGAACACTGTACTGACCCGTCCTCGTCGGAAGGCTGTCTTGACGCCGTCGTGGCCCCGCGCGCGCCACCACGAGATGACGGCCTGGGGCCGCGAGCCCTTGCTCTCGCACGTCATGGTGGCCTCGTGGTCCGCCACCAGGTGGTCCGGCTTGGCCACCATCCGCGTCATCAGCGGGTCCACTGGAAACAAAACAACAAGTCAGGCTTTCTTCACGAAAAACAGCTTTTTCTGCCAGCTCCTTCTAAGAATCATCCAGCTTTCTGCGCCGAGATCAAGTCGTTTTTCGTTCTGAGTTTCGTGGCGGTCTGTTACTCACGTATCATCTCGAGGCGCACGGAGTGCTGCGTGGGGTCGCGCAGCTTGGTGTTGGACGCCTGGCAGCGGTAGGTGTTGTTGAGGTGCCTGCGCATCATGGCGTGCTCCTGCAGTCGCGACACCAGCACGTTGTCCTCGGGCCGCTCCACGAAGCCCTCCACCACGCGGTTGTTGACGAACCACGTCAGCGTGGGCGGCGGACGACCTGCCAACAACAAGCGCCCAAATTTTTTTTTAAAGTGGGAAAACACGCCAAGGGCGGAACAGCCATCGCCGCTTTGAGCGCGAGAGCGTCAAGTGGCCGCGCTTTCAAAATCGGAAAACTTCAAAGATGAGTTCCGCGATGGAAAAAGGGCCACCCGGGCACGGCGGCACGGCGGCAAGCGCTCGCCAATTTTTAGCTCCGAAAGGCCCTCCGGTTTCATCACCAAGGCACCGGGCCCGGCCCACCGGGATGGGAAAAAGTTTCACACTTTGACCGGTATCACTTTGGCGACGATGATGTACCACCGGCCGCCCTGCAAGGGCCACGTGTAAAGGTGGCGCGGCAAAGGTGGATGGCGAGGGATTAAGGGAAGGGGGGGGGGGTGCGTAAGCGGCCCTTGAGCTCCCCGAAACAATATGAACGAGCAAGTTTATGGAGGGCAGGCTGGGCAGGCAGGCTGCTGCACAACAGGGCAAGTTGAGGGGATCATTGTCGGTGGAAAACGACGGCGCGTCACGCAGATTGGAGTTTGAAGAGAGCCGCGCTGAACAGCGTCGTTTTCTCGCTCCGTCTCTCTCGCGCCCCCTGCGGCACGCTCCGCGAGAGCGAGAGAGACGGCGCGAGGAAGGCACTCTCCGGCACCCGTCTCCAGGACGCCGTGCTTCGATGAGTAGTCCACGACCAGTGGCGCAGCAACCTAACCTTTTCCATGCCGTTTAAGAGAGGTTTCCGGACACTTGCAGGGAGTGTGCCACTCCTCTTTTCCCAGGTGGAGTAGTCTTTCTCGTACCCACTTCGCGCCAGGCGCCCTGGGGGCAAGTCGGTGTTAGCAAGTGTATGGCTGAGCGTCGGAAACTTGGGCTCGCTGAGGAGGAAAAACGGAACAGAACACTACTGAAATAAATAATTCTCATCTTTATTCTTAAAAAAAAAAAAAAAAAAAAAAAAAAAGCAACGGCCTTGGACGAAGAACCCCCGATGCTGTTCGGTGTGGGCCTGCGCGAAAAGTCGGCCTGCCCGCGTAGACGGCTCTTTGCTGCCGGTTAAAACAGCTACCCTCTCGAACATCCCCGTCCTCGATTAAGCCGTATCCGCCATGCACGCACAGAGCGTCCCGTTTGCCCGGCCTCGGGTATGATGGCTCCATCATGCCGGAACTACTTCAAATAAGATGCCCCGCAGACCACGCCCTTGTGTTCATACGCCGGGCGTGCGTGTGCGCGTGTGTGAGCGCGAGTGCATGTCTGTGTGCGCGTGTGTGAGCGCGAGGGCATGTCTGTGTGCGCGTGTGTGAGCGCGAGGGCATGTCTGTGTGCGCGTGTGTGAGTGCGAGGGCCTGTCTGTGTGCGCGTGTGTGAGTGCGAGGGCATGTCTGTGTGCGCGTGTGTGTGTGCTCACGCGCTCTCTATTCAATGGAGGCCAGCAGCTCGCTTTAGCCCCGCCCCACTGCAGTGGAAGAAGTCTTGATGTGCCCACTGCACTCGCAACGCGCCGGTCGGACTGACTGCACAGTTCAGCCACATGTCACTCCGGTCCAAGTTTAAGTTCCACACTACTCCTCGCTTTGCATTAATTGGCACCTTGCGATTCGGGTCGCTTTGGAGCTCGAAACGAGTTGCCTCCGCCAAACTTGGCGCGCGGCGTCGCCGTGTCTGTCGATAGTTTCGCGGGATGAGGTGGCGATGCTGCCCGTGCCGCCCAGGCCGTCCGGATAGCTGGCCCTCCTTGCGATTTACGAGGCTCCGGAAAAACAAGGCGGTGATTCACTTGGCCGGCCATTCGTCATCGGCAGCGCACTGGGAAATCGATCAGAAGGTCGCTTCGGCTGGCCTCGGCCTATTCCGTCACAATTACACAGTGTGGCGCCGGAAATTTACGGCCGCGAGCAACACCAAACAACAACAGCGATCCCCTGTTGCCGCGCGGTCCGCCATTTCCCCGTTTCCAACGGCCAACGGCCCAACCGGTGGCCGCCACCAATCTTGTTTTCAGTCTCATCAGCTGTTGTTGTTGTTGACTGGGACCGATTTATCCAGGTTCAACGCCAGCCTTGCCGTCGGCCATGGACGGGTGTGAAGCTTTCCGTTCGCCAGGGCCGTTATTCAGGGCGTCACATAAAAATTATTTAAATAGGGCGCCGGAAGTTGGGGAGGGCGGGGGGAGGGGGGGTTGCCGTGTGCTTGCTGCACTGATAGTCCCCCGGCCCACAAACCTTCCCGGCACCATTATGCTCCTCTCTTTCTGGCATAATGACCCAGGTCGTTATGGCTGCATATGTGAGCCTTGTGTGTTCAGGGCGGCCGAGGCGGCTTGCACTTTTGCGCAGAGTTCATTTTAGAAAGACTCGACTAACAAAACAATACAGAATAAAGCCCCGAAGTTTGTTCGGTTCGGCGGAATACAACAGCTCCCGGGGCTTCACGGAACCCGAACCGGGTTGCCGGCATTCGCGAAAGTCGTCGAATAGGTCAGCTTGCGTTGCGAAAGATTCGAAAATGGTCGTCCACGGAGTTGTCTTAGTCCGAACGGGCGTTCCAAAGAGCAGCTTGCCTTCAAATGAAGGCAAAATGTCGACTTATGTAGGTTCAGTTCGAATCCTAAACTCGAAAATCGGGCCAGGAAATGTGTGTTGACCAACTGATCTCGTTTCGTTCAAAAATCGAGGCCCCTTCGTACAGTGTGGTTCACCCTCGAAGGTAATAAAATTCGTTCACGAACGGTCTCTACGGACAACACCTCTGGTGCCGCTGGCTTGGTTATGGTACGGTCACTCCGGCTGTATCGACAAAGCCCGGAAGACCCGGATCCTCTTCGGACAGCCTTATTGGAGTGTGGCCCATGTGTGCCTACACTCTTTGTTTTACAACGATACAGTTACCATATGATGAACAAAATGACTCAAGCTCTGCTCAGGGAGTTTTTCATCGTATTACCGAAGGTTTTGTTTGTTTGTTTATACTGAAAATCTAGAGGGGATTCGCCGAGGGGAAATAACTCCAGCCAAATTTGCTCACCACAAATTCACCAAACATGTAAAATTATTAATTCTTAAATTCTTCTCAAAATTCAGAGGTTTTGCTTGAAACTCATCAGAATTCAACTGAACTTCACTGGATTTGTCCACTGAAATTCACAGGGATTTCCCCTTGGGATTCACATTTGATTTTCACCGGATTCATCGTAACACAGCTCAAATCGTGCGACACTTGGAGTGTGCGCGCGCCACCCCACCCTCACTGGGGCCACGGCCACGCACACAAGGGCAGACAAATAAAAAAAAGTCCTTGCGCTGGATGGGCGCACACAACGCGGACAATCACCCGTCGGGAATGCGCGGGCCGCCCGATATTGTGGCCGAAGTTGTCGAGGTGGTAAAAGAGACGGCGCTACACATTCCGCGGCGCTTTGTCCTCGTAGCGGGCGGGGGTGGCGAGCCGTGGCCAGCCAGCCAGCCACGCCAGCCAGCCACGCCGGGAATCCAGAAACTGCCGCATCACAAAGGCATTCGATCCGACACCTTTGTGCCGAGTCTTTCATCTTGCCAGGAAATACTAGAGTACGCCCCGCCCCGCCCCGCGCGCCGAAGGAACACCGCCGAGGTCCTGGAGATGGAGTGCAGCAAGCAGGCTCGCTCCGCTCCGCCTCTCTCGCACTCATGGGTCGTCCTGTCGGTGTGCGAGGGAGACCTTGTGTGTCCTTACCTCCGCGGACCTCGCACTTGAGGATGAGGTCGCTGCCGTCCACCAGTGGGCCGACCACGCCCCCCGTCACGTCGCGGCCCGAGGCGTCGTACATGATGAGCGTCGTGGGCGGCACTGGAACAGAACAACAGAACGCACTCGTCAGGCTATTTGCTTTTTTCAATCAACAGGTGTCGGGCTCAAACTTAAAAAAAAAGAAAAAGAAAAACATTTTGCATGTTGAGATCCATCTTGTTCCAAAAACGAGGTTTCTCAAAATCTATCGAGATCTGTCGTGATGCAACGAGGATCTCACCAAGGAAACCACGTGTAAAACGAGGGAGACTGCCTACTACGTTGCGTTCGATATATTTTTTTCGACCGCAGGTGGTCCCAAATTGCTGCACCCCTGCTTTACTTTGGGGTCGTTTTCGAAGCGGGATCGCAATAAAGGGCTCCCCGAACGAAGGGCCGAGGGAAAGGGCGTTCGCACCTCGCCCAGAGCCCCGCCCCTCGCCCCCCTGGCCCTCAAGGTACCGGCCGGCAAGGCTAATCCTAATCCACTTTTCGGCGGGGTAACGAGGCGCGTCGCTCGCAGTCTAGCCGGGGCGGCCGGGGCGGCCGGGGCAGCCGGCCGCCAGCTGGGACCTGACCTGCCGGCACGCCGGAAGGCTGCTGGCCGAGGCGGGAGGGGGATTTCACGTTTTAAACACAGCTCAAGAATTTTTAAAAAAAGTGAAAACAAGGTGTCGTTTCTCTGTATCCGCAGTCGTGTGCTGACCGTTGTTGTTGGCGGTCTTGTTACGGAGCCTTGTTATGGCCGGGCGCGGCCAGGCTGGCGTATCAAATATCAAATCCCGCGGCCGCTGGATGGACGCGCCGGCAAGGCAGCCCGGCAAGGCAGCCCGGCCGAGGCTGCCGACGTGTTAGTGCCGCCGTTTACCCGCGGCTCCCGATAGCCGACCCGACCGCATTTCACAGACGGCGGCTCTGCTTTCAATGTGGGGTGGTTCTCCTTGTTCGCCGGCCTGTCAGTCCTCGTCGAGCGGCCGGGCCTAGGCCTAGCCGCCCCACCCCGCCCCGCCCCGCCCCCGCACCCCACGTCAGGGGGCGGCCGCAGCGCAGGCAGACCTTCCTTCCCCCGAGCGCTCGGCGCACGGCGCGCACGCCAGGGAAGGCCCCGTCCCGTTTTAACTACATCTCATAGCCACATCTTTGGCTTTCTCTATCATTTAAGTTTGTGTGCTGAACCGCCGGGCTTCAATCCATGCGAGAGGTTACCGCACAGCCTCAAGAAAAGCCCCCTTCCCAGTGTCAGTGCACTCGCGAGGCGTCCTTGGAGGCGTCCTGTACGCGTGCAATAGAGCGCGGTGGGTAAAGGTTGTCTAGCGCGAGGTCTTGTGACTTTCTCTCTCCTCTCTGAAATATAACAAGATTACGCCTTTGCTACGCCGCTGGCTGGCTGAGGAAGGCGACTCGTCCAGCACGGCGAGGCGGGCCGTCCCCCGCGACCCCGCGCGGTCTTCCTGCCGGCTGAGCAGCCTGCCTTCCTCGCTCTGTCTCTGTCGCTCTCATTGGGCGTGTCGCAGGGGTGCGAGAGAGAGAGAGAGAAGGGTAAGGAGCGAGCCGTCCGGAATCAGCCTGCAGCCGGAAGGAAGTGGGGACTGCGAATACTAAGTAGCGAGCCCAGAAAGGAGTGGCAGCGGGCAAAGGAAGTTGCGAGGACTCCGCCCGCCCTGCGGCCCTGCGGGGGGCCCTGCGGGGGGCCCTCAAGGGACAGGGAGGTACCTCGCCCTGGCTGGGGTAGGGCTTTGGCATGATGGGGATCATGGCGGAGGAGGTTGATGAGGACGAGGCGTTGATGCAGCCCTCGCCGCCAAGGCCACTCAAACACGTCAGCATTCGACGTGTAACTTCCAGCATTCAACGTAAACACGTCAGCGTTCAACGTAAACATGTCAGCATGCAACGTGAACATGTCAGCATTCAACGTGAACATGCCAACATCCGACGTAAACATGCCAACATCCAACGTGAACATGCCAACATCCAACGTAAACACGTTGACTAATACGGCCCGCGGGGGAAAGAAAATCTGGACCGGAACTCAGGGCGCCACCCGCAGCTTCGAAACTAACCGGCGAAACTGTGAAGCCAACAACAAGGCGGCGCTGCCAAAGTCTGGCCACCCTAGTCAACTACTACTGTACCACGAATAGAGTGGCCAAGAAGGGTGTCCAAGAGGCCGGGCTGGCGGTGCCGAGGGACGACCTGGCTCCGCGCGGCTCGGCGCGGCGTGCCACCGTTGTAGGCAGGGATCTGAAACTTGTTTCGGCCGCCGTATTCGTAAGGTCTGTTCCCCCCCCCCCCCCCCCCCCCCCGTATTCCAGCACCAACTCCGCAACTCCACTTCCAATTATACGACACCCCTTTTAAAATCGGCCGCTGCTTTTTGTAGTGCACTGGTGTTCGACAGCGCCGCAACTCGTTTGCTCGCTGGCTCTGCGCTGCTGGGACAACAAATTACTTGGCGACCAAGACGGCCGGTGGGCGGGGCCGGCAGAGACACACACAGACAGCGAATGAAAAGGAGAGGGACAGTGTAAATGAGACAGTGTGGCCGCGAGGTGATGGCTGGGACCTCTTTGTTGCTCCGGGCAGCCAGGCAGCAGTCAGGCAGCGGCAGGACCCAGGCAGGGTTCCTCCAAGACGGTCTTTGGGCTCCGCCGGGTTCTATCAGGGTTCCACCGGGGCCGCCCCGCCTCGATCCCAGTGAGGTTCGAGCAAGTCTCCAAAGCCCCGGGAAGGGCTCCTTTTAGGCCACAGTCCCTCGGCCAGCCAGACCGCTACTCAGAAGCCTCCCTCTCCTCCTCCCTAAATTAACGTCACGGTGGGGGTCCTTCAAGTCAGCGGCGACGTCCTTCTAAGAAACCTCAACAAGAGGAGGAAACAGGACGGAGTGGCGGAGCAGGGCGGAGTGAGGCAGGGAGAAAGTCGTAGGAAAGCTGTTGCTCGAAGAAAGTTGGCCGGCGAGAGAGAGGGAGATAGAGAGAGGGAGAAAGGCGGTGGCCGGCTGCCTCGTTTTAGCGCGCCGGCAACGGGGCCAAGTCCGCCCACGTCCGGTTTTACGCGTTTTACGTCCCGGCCGACCCGGGGACCGAAACCTCGTGCAGTGCAGTGCCTTTGCAGTGCCTTTGCGCCGCTCTGCGCGTCCGCGGTGCAGGTACACTTTACCTGAGAGATTACGCCACGCGTGTCCGTGCACACACACATAGGCCCAACACAACACACACACACGGAGGTGTCAAAGTCAGGACGCCGTTAAAAAGCGACTGCTGCTCAAGAACCTTGGTACAATTCGCCAGCCGGTCGGAAAGCGAAGCGGAACCGCTCTGCGAAAGACAGAGAGAGAGGGAGAGAGGTGTGCTCTGCCCTGTTGGCTGCGAAAGAGCGAGAAGGGTGCTATCACGGGGGGCTGTTGTTGGCTGCGAGAGAAAGAGAGAAAGTCAGAGAGGGGGGGAGGGGGGGGGGGAGAGAGGTGCGCCCTCGGCCGCTGGCTTCCGCTGGCCAGGCCAGCCTCGCGGCTTCGGAATTGCAGCCGTGGACACGATGGGCCGGAAAAGAATCGGACAGAGAGTGGACAGAGTCGGAGCGATTAATTGCGCGGACCGGCGGACGAACAGACGAACAGACGAACGGGGGCAGGGCCCCGGCAGGGCGAGGGGAGGCCGGGGCAGGGGGCCTGGAGGACGGGGAGGCGAGCGACAGATGGAGAAAGAATTTCATTTCCTCTCTCAAGTGGCGTTACTCGTTATTTTCCACCGAAGTAATTGCCGGATTTTCACCATTTTCACCGATTTTCCGTCCGCTGTCTGCGTGCCTTCGGCGTGCCTCGGCGCCGCGGCCAAGCCGCCACCGACTCGAGTGCGAACTCTGGCAATCCAAAAATAAGGCGGGGTGTGGCGCGTCCGCAAACGGTTGAGTCGCTTTTATGCTCCCCTTTCGGTCCCCGTTGCCTGACGCGAGTCCCCTCCACTCTTTATCTCTCAATATTCCGGCCAGCCGCTTTGTTGCGACCGGCAGCCGATTCGGCACACTGCTTCGTCACCCCGCCTGTCTCGCGCCCCTCCGCAACGAGTGCGACGGGGACAGAGGGGCTAAGTGAGGGGGCTTGCAGTGCCCGCGACGAACTGACGACGAACGTGACCGAACGCGACGCGGGAGTGACGGAGGCGTGACGAATGCGTGACGCGCGAGCACCTCGACCGTTATTGGCTGTGAAATACGTCTGGAAATCCCCTACGGGACGCGTTCGGACCGCCCCGGACCGCTCCCCCAGCCGGCGCGTCTCCTCACGGCGATCTCTCAGTCTGTCTCCTCGTCCAATGATTTGTGCACACAATTTCCATCTCCCTGGGGGTGGCCCGAGGCCCGGCCCGGCCACGGCCCTCCCGGAACAACAGCGCCGAGTTGCATTAGGAAAGGGATTTATGCAGGATTTCCTGGCCACTTGTTCGGCAGCCCTGCACCGCCGCGCCGCCCAGGTTATCCCTCCTTTTTCTGGCCGCTTATTGCACTTGGAGAAAAAGGGTTGCGTGCCATTGGCGTGCCGCACCGCGTCCCGTATGCAGCGAGCGCGTGTCGGCGTGTCGGCGCGCCGTGTGAGTTATGGCGAAGCTCTGCCTCCAGCTCCGCGGGCTGCTAGTTCGAACCGTGCTTTCTGTCTCTCTCGCACTCGTGGGGCGCTGCGTAGGGGTGCGAGAGAGACAGAGCGACGGGGCACTGTTCGGAGTCAGACTGCTCGGGTGGTGTGGCGTGGGGCGTCAAGAGGAAAACTCCCCGAGAAAGCGGATAGCACACCATAAAGGGGGTTGCCTTGCCACCGCGCCGCCTTGCCGCCCACGCGACCTGCATCCCCTGACACTGACCCTAATGCGACCACGTTGTTAGTGCACGCCACCGCCACCGCGAGGCGCGGCGCAGCGCATCCGGACCCCAAGGCATTACCATCCAAACAGCCTCGACCTGCCGCGGGGACGCGCCCGCACGCCCCGCCCCGCCCCGCCCCGCCCCGCCCCGCCCCGCTCAATGACGCATCAACGGTCCTTTCAGAGGGGGACCGGCTCAGGGGCCGC